AATAAAAAGTCATTGTGTTGTTTCAGGGCACAGAAGAATGAGCAGAGATGGGAAGAGACACACTACACTGACTCCAAACACCAGAGTCATCTGAACTATTATGCAAAAATAAAAACCATGAATAAAAAAAGGAAAATGTAATTTTAAAACATACTTGAACATTTTGAAAAATATTACAGTTCATAATTTTCTAGTTCTGTAATACCAAAAGCAATAGTGCAAATGAATCTTGAATGAAGGCCCTTCATTTTGTGGCGAAGGAGAGAAACGTTTTTCTAGACGGAAAATGAGCCTTGTTCTTTTTCTTTGCTTGACATTTTTATGCTTGATTTGAAATGATGGACTCCTCCATCCTATCATGTTATCATGGGTGTGTGGTATTCTCAATAAAGGGATGATACTTCAAGGTTACCAATCTTGTGTTATTTAATCCTTACATGTAACCTGTTTTGTTCAGTTTTCAAGAGTGTATGTGTTATCTGACAAACCCTTACCTAGGCAGTATGACAAAGAAGGCCAATGCAGGGTAAATGGTAGAATAGTCAGGGCACGGCAGGAGAAGCACAAATGATAGTAAAACCATATTATATGTATTATATGTTTTGTTTAGCTAAATTGGCATCCGTCTTTGGACAGATGGTTGATACAAGCAACATAAGAAGGGAAAAGAAAACTTTTAAGTTTGCCTCTAAAAGAGGTATTTTTGCACTCAAGACAGAAAGATTGGAGAAAGATTTTTTCCTTTGCCAAATTACCCTTCAGAGATATTGCCACTGAGCTCCTGCAATAGAAACCTCATGGTAAAAATCATTGTCATGACTTCATGACTCATGTGTTTTGATATTCATCTCTAAAAATGCAAAATCTCTAATTGCATCTAATTTTGTAAATAAGTCTAATGTGTTGTAATAAATAAAAATGTAAAAACGTCAATTTTATGTTCAAATTGTCATTTTTACGGTCGTCTGGGATCATCAGTATAAAAACTGTTAAAGAAATAGGCAATGATTATGTTGTCTTTTCATTGGCTTAAGTAAACTAGAAAAAGTGTTTGTGCTAATATTTAAGCTTTTAATTTCCCTTATATATAATACTTTGTCTGATAGCCAGACAGAAGGACAAGCAACGGTAAAAATATTGGAGTTAACAGGAGGGGGCAGAGGAAAGTGAATATCAGTGGAGCAGGTGGAGGAAGACATTTTGGATTATTACATGAATTAGTGGATGGTTATTGTAAGGCTGTCAGGCTGGTCTGCCAAACACTAAACAGTGCAACATGGTTTAACAGACCGTTTTGGAACCGAGCTTTTGTATGGGTGTATACAGTCTATACTGAGGGTGTGGAGGGTGTTTCCTCCGACAGGTGGCGCGAGAGCTCACGAGACTAGAGAGGCGGGCTTTAGTTTCACTCCATAGTTTCTCTGAACCAATGACGAGCTCGTGGGGTTAAAGTTGAAGGGTTAAATCAAATATGGCGGCGAACAAACGAGTGCTGTATGTCGGTAAGTTATTCTTATTTTTCACAAAAATAGGATAAAATCGCTCTATTTTGGTATATCTAGTTCAAGTGCTGGAGTTATTACTTTTAAAGCATCAAAGCAGACGCAGCTAAACGTGTATAAAGTGGATATAACGTGAAAAACGATACACAGAGAGTCAGCCGGCACAATATGTCGCTAAACTATTTGAAACTTCGCTGGTTGTATACTAAGCCCAGTTTCATCAACACCTTTTGTAAAGCGCATTGTGTCTGGTTGAGTGAGGAAATGAAATAAAACTATAAATAACGTTAAAAGGTCCAGCTTCCGTCACTTGAACGCAACACGTTTACATAATTTGGATGTAAATCATATCTTCTCACATGTTCAATGTTCATTAGCTTGACATCGGCACTGTGTGTTTCTGTCAGGTGGACTGGCAGAGGAGGTGGACGAGAAGGTGTTACATGCAGCGTTTATCCCGTTTGGAGACATCACAGACATCCAGATACCGTTAGACTATGAAACAGGTAAGAGCTGGAGTTTTACTGTGAAGTGTGATGGTAACTGAACTGTGTCTATGTCACAGTAAATACAGCGGGTAAGAGAGAGATGCAGCTCTATTGATGTGGCTTTTGTTCTGTTTTCAGAAAAGCACAGAGGATTTGCTTTTATTGAGTTTGAACTGGCAGAGGTATGTAGTATTTATAGTGCTATTTAAGTATTGGGTACTAATATTCTCAATGAGAAAATAAACGAATTAAGTCACATTTAAAGGTGGAATTAATTCAAGACATTTGTATTTGCATTATTGAAGTGCACATTGTACACACCTTAACTGAGTGATTGAGTTTTAACTACACTGTGCAACACCCAGCAATACAACTGTTGGATGTAATTTCTTTGCAAGTTTACTATTAAAGACAGTAAGAGTAAATTGATCCTGTAAAAACTGTTCCATTGGAAAGCATTATTTTGAAGAAGGTTAACAGTAGACTGACTGGTGAATGCAATGTAAATAAAGTAATTTACTGCACATATGGTAAATAATCATTCACCCTTTACCTTCTGTAGGATGCTGCAGCAGCTATTGATAACATGGTAAGTACATTGCATTGCTGCACACACATGCCAGTGATGGTTTATTCCTGTCTCTAAGGCCTAGTTTTGTTTACCCAAGAGGTCCAAAAAATTCTCCTCCTGTTTCAATATCAATGTTTTTCTTTTTGTCTACTAGAATGAGTCTGAGCTCTTTGGACGGACTATCCGGGTCAACATCGCCAAGCCTATGAGAATCAAAGAAGGTTCATCTCGACCAGGTGCTTATTGAAAACCTGTACACAGATGGCTTCAGCTGTGCTGTAATTTTAATCCATAGCTCCATAGCTCTAATTTTAACTCTGCTCTCCCTCAGTGTGGTCGGACGATGACTGGCTGAAGAAGTTCTCAGGGAAGACCTCAGAGGAGGCTGAGGGGGAGGCAGCAGGTGGAGAAACAACCAACACGGCAACACAGGATGTGAGATGGCTTTCTTTCTAGTGCTGATGTGTCTGACTCTAACCATATTAAGATAGTAAGTCACGTATGATTTGGTTTTGTAGGCTGAACCCCCAGCTAAAAAGGGCCGAGTCAATCCTCAGGTCTATATGGACATCAAGATCGGCAACAAGCCAGCAGGAAGACTACGCTTCCTCCTGCGGGCTGACATTGTTCCCATGACAGCAGGTCTGTATGCAGTCTCCTGAAGGGTTTTAACCATCATATCTTTGTAAAAAAAAAAAAAAATGTATACTGTAGCTGCACATCCTTAAGTGTTCAAAAAGGACGCTATATTAAGCTATACAGGTGTAAAGAGAAACCACAAGTGCCTAATTAAAACGCCTCTGTTCAAAAATAAAAAAATTAGTTAAGGCAAATATTGACACAAGTATCTCTTCTGGCATGACCGTGTAGAGAACTTCCGCTGCTTATGTACACATGAGAAAGGCTTTGGCTACAAAGGCAGCAGCTTCCACCGGGTCATCCCTCAGTTCATGTGTCAAGGAGGCGACTTCACCAACCACAATGGCACCGGTGGCAAGTCCATCTACGGCCGGAAGTTTGATGATGAAAACTTTGTCCTCAAACACACAGCTCCAGGTAAGGAGTGTGGTGAAGTCTGAGAATGAGGTTCATGGTTTGTGTTTACTAGCAGATCCTGTTGGTAACAGGAACCAAACTTGCGGTCTCTCTTGTGCTCACAGGGCAGCTCTCCATGGCCAACTCTGGGTCAAACACTAATGGCTCTCAGTTCTTCATCACCACTGACAAAACAGACTGGCTGGATGGCAAACACGTGGTGTTTGGAGAGCTGGTGGAGGGGATGGATGTCCTCCGTGCAATGGAGGTAAAGGATAAAGGGATTCACTAAGGGTTTGATTCCAAGATTAATAAAGGGCTATTTCAGTGATGATAGTTTAATTTTTATGCCTATATATCACTACAGCAAAATACGCATAAAAATATTCCCATTCCCAATGTTTTACATGCAGTGATTGTTGCTTCTGTCTGTTCCACAGTTACTATGAATGGTTGTAGAAGAAACTTAAAATAAAAATGAGCAAAAGCTATTTAAGAAACCAAAAAATCCAGACAAAGCTTCTTTTTTTTTAAATTTTTTTTATAACTGATCATACTGTTGGGTAAAAGTATGTAAATTAGTACCCATTATTGTGGTACTAATTGTGGTAATTAGTAAATTATCAATGTGGTTTTGTGTTACAATGAGCAAAAAGTCATTTATATTGTGAAATCTTATGAATAATTTTTTTCTGCAGGCTCAGGGGACAAAAGACGGGAAGCCGAAGCAGAAGGTGATCATCTCAGACTGTGGAGAATATGTGTGAATGGAAAAAAAAAAAGTATGAGTTTGACCTGTTTGTGTGTGTGTATGGAGGAAATGTATGTCTGAGAGCATGAGTATGTTCATGGTCTTTTGTACTTTGAACCAACATCTTCTGTCATGTAAATATTTCAATAAACACCTTTTTTTTATGACGAACCCACAGTTTGATGTCTGTTACTCTTTATAAATGTCACATTGTGGTAAGGACTTGTTGGCTTTCTCATTTATAGTTGCACAACTATCTATTTATAGCGCACGTTTTCTTAATTATCAAGGAAAAAAATAAACGTTTTTCTCACGAATAAGTGTCAAACCGCCACATTGTTCACTCTGGTTTTCATGCGAAAATATGTAGATTTTAATGCGTTTCAAGCAAATAATAAATACGAATTCAAAATGACTACGTGCTGGATGCAGAGAGTTTGTTTTGGTCGCTTTTTAACAGCATTTCAACAACCGAACCAAATTTGAAAAATGGAAGAGTGAAAGTCGTCAGTTCTCTTCCCTTAATTGGTCAAACAAGGCTTTGGTGGAATGGAGCAGCCACACCTGAGCAGGTTGAGTGCGGAGAAGACACGGTAGACTAACAGCTCCACCCCCTCCACTCCCGTCCTGTTGAGAAATCTACTGAATCTCATCGCTGAGCTTCATCCAAAGCCTCTTCCTCCGCCCCGACACGGGACCGCAACAGCAGCTTTCAGACCGTGAGTATTCAGATTGATTTTAAAATCGTTCAATACTGAGTGTGATAGTGAAGCGAACTTGTTTGGATTCATAGATAGGTCGGTTTTAGGCTTTTTGGATACGCGCAAATTGCGCACGAATGTAAAAAAAAACAAACAAAAAAAAACTTGAAAGTGGCTAGAAAGTGAGTGGCTTGTTGGAGTAAGAGTTCTCTGATTGTATCTCCGCATAGCTTCGAAATCAAAAGTTGTTGCTTATATAACCGCAAATTCACTGGTTTAATAATAGACCCGGTCACTTTTCTGCTCATTGCGCTTTTTTCTGTCATTTGTTTTTTTTGCCTTAAGATACGTATACACGTGAATTCATCTCTTAACGACCCAGTTCCACCTCTGTTAGTCTCTTTATTTCTTTGTTCTCTTGTCCTTTTTCTATAACTGTGATATGACTGTGTTTTTTCTTTGTGTCCCACGCTGCTAGATATACCTAAACTTTGTCTGAGCCATTTCAACTGAAGGGAACCTTCCCCCTGTCTTCCATCAGCAGGAAGAGACTGTGAGCAAACCTCGTCATGAACTGGACATTCCTCCAGGGCCTCCTCAGCGGGGTGAACAAGTACTCCACAGCCTTCGGCCGAGTGTGGCTCTCCATTGTCTTCCTCTTCAGGGTCCTGGTGTTTGTGGTGGCAGCAGAGAAGGTATGGGGTGACGAACAGAAAGACTTCAAATGCAACACGGCTCAGCCCGGGTGCCACAATGTCTGCTATGACCACTTCTTCCCCGTCTCCCATATCCGGCTGTGGGCCCTGCAGCTCATCTTCGTCACCTGCCCCTCACTCCTGGTGGTCATGCATGTGGCCTACAGGGAGGACAGGGAGAAGAAACACCGGCTCAAGTACGGCGAAAACTGCCGCCGTCTCTACCAGAACACTGGCAAGAAGCGTGGAGGCCTGTGGTGGACCTACGTCCTCACTTTAGTCTTCAAAATAGGTGTGGACGCCACCTTCGTCTACCTCCTCTACCATATCTATGAGGGCTACGACTTCCCATCTCTCATCAAGTGTGAACAGAAACCCTGTCCCAACAAGGTGGACTGTTTCATCGCTCGGCCCACTGAGAAGAGAATCTTCACCCTCTTCATGGTGGTCACCAGCCTGGCCTGCATCTTGCTCTCTGTTTTTGAAATTCTCTACCTGGTTGGCAAACGGTGCCGTGAATGTATCACCACATTCCATCACTCTCGCCGAGTCGTGACCAACACGATGTCCAGTGGGAGCAACTTGATGGAGTCAAATAATCTAAAGCTGACAGGTAAAAACAACCCTCAAACACCTGCGCCCTCATACAGTGTCGCCATATCTTGAGATACTGAGATAAAGGCAAAGACTATTAAAGACATGACAAGTCCCCAGGCACTTCCTCAAAAGACTTGACAGCAGACTTTGTCTACTCTGAGATTGAACTACGATGGAGTTGGTTCCCTACTGTTTACAGAGTCCACAATCAAAGGAGTTCAGGACATCAGGACTCATGTGTCATTGATCTGGAATGTGCTCAATGTTGCGGGTTTGCGAGTACTTACAGATGTTTTTACAGATAAAGTTCAACAGCAAAAAGAAAAGTCAAGGAAGTTTGTGATGCAGTGTCAGATTTAGCTTCTCGTTCAATTAAATGAGTCACTCCGGGGTTTGGCGAGTATGGTTTTATAAACGTGGTTTTCTTCGTAAGATTTTCCCTCTGCTCGTGCCCGACCTCAAAATGTTTACTTCTGACTGTGCTGTGTCTCCTCCCTTCACTCACACGTTTGTCGTATCTTGCTGTAAATGCTGTACTATATATAATTTATCAACAGGTTTGAAAGATTGTGCTCTTGTGTTTGTTACTGTTGTTGTCATGTTTCTGCGTAGTGGCGGAAGAGAGCAATGCTGTGGAAATGCAGTTTTTGAAACACAGTTGTTATTAGTAACTCAGGATTTGCATATTTAACAGCGTTGAGGTGCAGCGTGGCTGCATAGTTGTTAATAATATTTTCATTAAAGATCATTTTCATATTTTGAAAATGTGTTTGTTTTTCATAAGATCAAGGAAGACATGTCTCTACACAGTGGTGAACACTGCATTCAACAGTTACACAGTCTTTTCATGTACTAAGGAACAATGTGCCACGTCTCTATAGAAAAGGACATGTTGATTCTGCAGTTCTGTGGTTCGACCAAAAAACACAGACTTTCTTTCTGCTTCCACTTCCACTTTTTCCATGCGTTTCATAAAGCCCTCCCTCTCCACTGGCCGCACAGATTGCTCTGTTGCTATGAGCAGCACCCTCATTTTTTAGGTTGATTGGTACTTTGAGAAGGGCAGAGGAGGAGCCTCCCACTCCTCTGATTCATCCATGCTGACGTGTGGAACCACCCAGTGCAGGAATTTGTCGGTCCGTGCAGACGCTGAATGGGGGATCGCAGTATTTACACTGCAACGTGCTGGAGGAGAGATGTAGTGAGAGTAAAAACACATCTTTTCTCACTTATGGTCTCTCCCTGTGTGGATATTTTCAATTTGAATCTGCCAATAGACATTTCAGAGGAAACTGCTACTGGCATCTGAAGATAGTGAAGGTGAATACATTTTGTTACTGCTGGCCCGAATGAAGACTGACATTTAAAAACTTGAACAGCAAAGTGTCTTTCCACAAACAATGACAGGACAATCAGCAGACACCACTGTTAACAGTTTTTACTGGAACCATTAGATCTATTTCAGTAAACAGTCCCTGCGATGAAAACTGTTAACAAGTGAGGTGTGTGGATTATCATGGTAACTAGGACACTGTTTTAGCAAAGACAAGGTGTTGTTGAAATGAGATAGCTCTCCTGCAGTGTGCCACGTGCCACAGCCTCAGCAGATGAAACCAAAAATACGATTAAATGGAAAAATCATTAAACGGTAATATATTGCCCCTGAAAACATAAGTGAGATCCAGTATGTGCGGTTCTGTTTGTCCAACCTGGATTTGTGGTTCTGTAAATAAGCCAAAAAATAACTCTCATTATGAGACCCTCCCAGCTCTTCCTGGTTATTATCTGTCATGGTCCCAGCTCTCTCTGCTCTGGTACATTTCCTTCCTGTCGCAGCAGTGGAAAGCAACGGGTTTATCCTGTTGTTACGTCTTGTCGAGACTTGCAGCTCACAGAGGTTGAGTCCTCCAGGTATGTCTCAGCAGCCTGCCAGTTGTTCAACTGGAGAACCCCCCCACCCCACTGAATGCACTGGACTGCTGTAAATGTTGTAGTACAGATGTTGTGTTCATAGGCTCAAGCTTTAGGGCATTGATGACTTTCCTGAAAAGCACAACTGCAACTTGATATTTCTAACAATGTCATCGCTGCGAGACCTTGAGATGAGGTGTTTTATTTAGAGAAGGCAGCACCACAGCTTGTTACTCTTCACTCCTGGGGAGTTAGACACATCCCGCCTCTTACAACAGCCTCTTACAACAAAGTGTTTATTATTGTGTTTATTATTTGTGCACAAATGAAAATATGAGCATAATGTTTTAGCCTGGTTCCTGAGTTGCTGTCCACACCTGAGTTCAGGTTTTCACTCTGCTTTTATAAACACACTTTTATGTTACAGGATATTTGTATGAAGTTATTAGAAAAAGTTTTTTTGCTCTTCATTGTCTTCTCAGAAATTGTTGGGTTTGTTTGGAAACTGTTGCGAGCATGAAACAAGCCCACTGAGATTTTATTGTACTGATTGATACAAATAAACGTGACTTGACTTGAAGCGGGTGATGTATGAACAAGTCTGTAGTCTTTATTATGTAAACACAAAAGTCAGTAGATCTGCAAGACCTGGCAAACTCTGGCACAGCGAGGGCATTTTGAACAAGCCATTTGATATTCTTTAGAGCATCTGGGGGATTACATTCCTCTACTAACACAAGAAGTTTGGTTGAAAAAGTGAGTGGATAGTAAAGTGGAGAAAACAGTGGAGCTCTTGATCTGACAGTGAGGATGAGCTTGAGTCCACTGGTAGTTCATGAATTGTGACAGTGTTATCTGAGTAGAGCCTGGCTTTAAAAAGAAAGAAAGAAGGAAATACAATACACTTTTTTTTGGCACTCCTGGGTGTTGCATGAAAAAGCCAAGGGAAAGAAATGAACAGGGAAACAAATACTTTTCTAGTTACATGATGAAATGTTTTTTTTACTCTCCACCTATCACCCCACCTTTGTCAACAAACTACCCCTTCATAACATCTCAGAAAATATGTTGCTTAGCAGTCTTTGGAAGAGTCCAACTGAAAGATACTGAAGACGTACAGCAACACAACAATACATTCACCTTAAGGTGTGTCTGCCTCCTATGTGTACACTGCCAAGTATGCAGAGGCAAGTTCAGGCAATGTGACAGTCCTGTTCCTGGAGACAAAAAATGAAGCCAAACCTGTCGCCCCTGAAACTATTTAAATGAGCACAATCACATCTTTTAAAGACGTTTTCCCAATGTAACCCTCTCTGAGAAGACTTAAGCTCTCGGGTATAAAACTCTGTATCTGTCTGTAATGTATGTGTGGAGATGACAAGCATCTATCCTTTTTGAGTGATCTCATTCATTGTGAAACAAAACGAAATTGTTCCTCAAGGCGCTGCAGGGCCCCGCAGGGTGATCCCAATGTTTCCCACCCCACGTCTGACTTATATGTGGTCTGAAATCACCAAGGCTGTGATTGGTACGCTGGTTCCAAACATGATTGATCATGTGTAAACCTTTTGGCAACTCTTATTACAAGAACCTGGAGATTGTTCCTGCCAGCTGTGACAACTGATGTGCAAAAATATTTATTATCACGCAACCATGGCGTGTGAGAAGGAGAGACGGAGGCAGACAAAGAGAGGGAGGGAAGTAGAGAGCGAGTAGGAGACATCGAAGGCAGCTGCAGTCTTTCTTTAACCCCACCCACAGGCGCATTTCTCAACACTGCGCTCCTCTACCTGTCGAGGGGAAATCAAATCTGTGCGTCAAAAGACTAAAACGCCATTAAAACTGCGAGAAATCACCGGACACACATTCACTCACGTGCCTTTTTAACTAATCATGGACTAATGCTTCTTTAGGTAAGTGAAAAACTCCGTGATGAACTTTTCATCTGCCTGAGATGAGTTAAGCTTCGTGAATTTCCAAGTTCGCGTTTCATCTCACTGGAAATGAGTGTTAGCAAATCTGTTCATTCCTTGGTTTTTATACGTATATGATTCCATCATTTGTCTCTGGTCGTAGGAGAGGGACAGTATGTCGGTAAAGAGCCACGAAAACACGTTTAAAGAACGCCCACAAGCTGTGCGTAAAAGACAGTTTTTTTTGTTAGGAGACTCATGTCTTCTCAAATGTATACCAACTTATTACCGATAATGTGTAATCTTATGAAATAAATGTTTGCATAAATGATCTAAAGTAGACAGGCTGCCTTTTCTAAATATATGTTTAAGCTCTGAGTGTGTTAATAACTTTGGTTCAACTCGTTTCCTTTACGATTGGTTTTGCTGGAGGCCCACTCCTTACTGTGTGTTTTTATTAGGAGCTGGTAAAAGGTGGGGCTGATAAATGAGATCTGTGGGAAATGTTTTAACATTAAATCAGCTTTGGAAGATGAATTACTGACTTAAAAAGCCATAATTAAGGGCGATTTGTTATGAAAGACTCCTGGAGTAAGTGAGACACCACCATAACTCAGCAGACAGTGAGAGCATGTTCACTCATTGTTCATTCTGCCTCATCCAGGTTTAAAGATAAACTACCACCAGCAACAGAAGATTTCCAGAGAAAAGGGATTTTGACGGCCAGCCAAAGACATGGACTGGAAGACCTTCCAGGCCCTGCTCAGTGGGGTGAACAAATACTCGACGGCGTTTGGGCGGGTATGGCTGTCTGTGGTGTTTGTGTTCAGGGTGATGGTGTACGTGGTGGCAGCGGAGAGAGTGTGGGGCGACGAGCAGAAGGACTTTGACTGTAATACCAAGCAGCCCGGCTGCGCCAACGTCTGCTATGACCACTTCTTCCCCATCTCCCACATCCGCCTATGGGCCCTGCAGCTCATCTTCGTCACGTGCCCTTCCTTCATGGTGGTCATGCATGTGGCTTACCGTGACGACCGTGAGCGCAAGCACAGGGCCAAGCATGGTGAAGACACCAAGTTGTACAACAACACGGGCAAGAAACATGGCGGCTTGTGGTGGACCTACCTGGTCAGCCTCTTCGTAAAGACAGGCATCGAGGTCTCCTTCCTCTACATCCTCCACAGGGTGTACGACAGCTTCTACCTTCCAAGGCTGGTCAAGTGTGAGGTGGAGCCTTGCCCCAACCAGGTGGACTGCTACATCGGCCACCCCACCGAAAAGAAGGTCTTCACCTACTTCATGGTCGGAGCGTCGGCCCTCTGCATCATCCTCAACATCTGCGAGATCATTTATCTCATCGCCAAGCGCATTGCACGAATCGCAAACAAGCTCAAGAGGCGCAATCGCAACACGGCCGTGCATCATGAAGACTACAGCGACGACCCCTTCAACAACTTCAACCAGCCAGTGTCGAGGCTGGACATGAAGGAAAAGCCTCCATACTTCAAGTCTTCGTACAGACCTTCAGCACTCAAGCTTGAAGAGAAGATACGGGCCTCTGCTCCGAACCTGTCCACTACCAAATGATAAAAGCTGTAATGAGGGCAAATATCAAGATCTCAGCAGCGCTTGGGCTATAACCCAATGACAAACCTAAAAAAAAACAGACTCAGAGCTATGAGCCAAACTGCAGTATGTTTGAGACCCAGGAAGCTGAGTCATCATCAGTTCTGGATTCATCATGCGGGCCCCTGTGTCCACATCTAAGACTCTTTTGGAACGCATCAACTTTGGTTTCCAAGCCAACATCCATAATATTTACATGTCAGGTACAGCCAAATTGATTTGGTAATGATATGTGAAGTTCCTTTTTGAATACAATAAAGGTCTGTGTGTCTTCACCACTTCACCCTGTTAGAACATTCCAGTGAAGTTTCACTCAGTCTTTCCTGTGATTGGAGTTTTGACACAGGGAAGGAAATGAGTCACTCAGCTGCACACAAGGAGGAGGCAGGACACACCTGGCAGAGGTATTCTCCCACCCTGCCAGTGTCAGGGTGTACAGTGGTGTGTCAGGGTGCTCTGTGGTCCTTGAGTGTAATGTGTACATTCCAGTGATCTCTTGTTATCATGGCTTCATATCACAGTTGCCCTGATGATCTCAAGTTTGTAAGAACAGTAAAAAATTCTACATTGGAGTGTAGATGCTCCCAAAGTCATAGAGTTATGGCTGAAGAATACTTGAAAGTGTGCAAACTGGCCCAAAATGACTTTGTTATTGCATTTACTCTCTTTGATAAATAAAAGGCATGGATGATTAGTATATTTTGTTATCTCAGCAGGCATATGCTTGCTCTCAGGTTTATGCCGCACAGCCAAACGTTGTATAAAGACTGCCTGTGCTTTGACATGCTGGTATACAACCTCGCCTGATGCAAGACCACTGTTGATTTAAATAAGGCGACAGGAATGCTGCTGTTTAATTCTGTGTTGGTAGAACTGGAACACAGTGGAGAACAAACAGAGGGTTCATTGAACTATTATGCAGTTTTGTGAGTCGTCCACTGTTCATCATCAGATGAAAATGTATTTTCTGCACTCGTTGTGACAAATGTTTTTATACAATTATATAAATTAAATTAAAGTTTATTGAACGTGTGTTTCTGTTTGGAGTTTTAACAGTAAGGGCTGATTATTTATACCTTGTGAATTTGATATATAATATGTATTAATATGGTTTCCATTTGGAAAATTGCTTCAGATTCATAGTTTAGCAAATCATTTAAAACATGTTCACGACCACCACTAGCTTTCTAAAGATAAAACCTTTCATCTGTAGTTGTATAAACACATTTTTATACTCCCACGATAGTATCTAAACACTGTTTACGGAGTTGGATTTTTTTCCATTGCTGCTGACTCATAGCCAAATTTCCTGCTCGAACCAGGCCTGCATGCCAATTAGCCATTAATCATCTGAATTTCCTGTGAATCTCCATGACTATGGCTATTTTCCTGTCTTTGATACTTATGATGTTTGTTTCTAAGTGTCGCAGAGGGCTGCTTTGAGAATCTCAGTCTGCCCGTCAGACTTGTCAGTCAGGTTCCCCCAAGGTGCGGCAAAGAAAACAGTTTTTGTTTAATCTGAATCATTTCCACAACAAATTGTAAAATCACTATGGAGATTGTGAATGATTAGCTCTCACTTTAGTACCTTACATGGCCAATGATGGCTTTAAATCTATTCTTTTGATGCAACATCTGTAAAACTGATGTTGAACATGAGGGGAGGATGTTACAGCGTCAGTCAGACATCATGTAGCTTATCAAACTATTTCAGATTAATGACACATTAATCAGTATTGTTTTATTTTTAAAACTCAATCTTGTTTGATATGTACAGGCATATTAAAATAAATACTTAAACATATTAAAAAGGTAAAACAAAAAATCATACATATGTAAAAAAAAAAAAAAAATCAATCTGTGGAATACAACACATCCCTATTTTTCGCAAACCAGCACAATTTCCAACCGATGGTCTCCACAGATGCTCCCAAGATAGATCATTAATATGAAGACAATGATCACAGCATACAGAGGATGATCAGAAATCAAAACAACACTTCTGTCTTTTCTGACATCAACAGTGAGTTTATGCATCCCTAAGATATTTTACTGGTTGATTTGACATAGTATTAAAAAGATCTTTGCACTTTGGCTAACCCACTGGCCAGAAAGCAACGTAAACACACCATTAAAAAAAGGTTTTAGACAGACAGATTCTGTATGATTAGATTGACTTTACATAAGGCACTGTTCCAGCTATACTATCATGTAGTGAATACCTAATCAGACATTTGATTTTTTTTTTTTTTTTTTTTTTTAAAAACAGAGTGGGGTCAGTCCCATCCAAATTTTGAAATTACATTCTCATACTGGTAGATGACAAACCAAACCAAACCAATGGTGATAACTGTACATACAGAGGGTGACGGCTCCAGCTTACATGGTTATGCTGCAGTGTACAGTCTGTGAAAGATTGATTACAGTTTGCAAGGGGCCTGCGCCACTTTGGAGCTGGTCTTTCTGTTGAGGCTTCGGCAGATGAAAGCTCCAGCATTCATCAGTTTGGAGAGGTCCACACCCTGCAGTGAGGACAGAGAGTCAAAGGCTCAAACTTCAGCATTTCAAGAGGTAGCTTACAGTGTAAACAAGAACTGCTTATTATGTGTGATTTCAGTCTATTTGTCCACTGGTGAAAGGAAATTTAAAGGTTTGGTAGTTTGTTAATGACTAATACAGAAAAAAAGAAGAAGTCACTTTCTTCCTTCATTTGTACATAACTAAACAGTAAACACAATAGTGTTGCATCTGTAATATCTAATATGAAGGAACTAAAAGACAGGGAAGGTTAAAGAGAAACAAAGTGTGGCTTCTTACCGTTTGAATCCCAAGTCCATGCAACATATAGACTACATCTTCAGTAGCAACATTCCCAGAAGCCCCCTGGGCATAGGGACAGCCACCCAGTCCAGCTACTGATGAGTCTACCACATTGATTCCCATCTGCAAAACGAAGACAATATTTACCTCTGTAAGTTAACACTGCTCTAATAACTAATCAACCACTTGCAAATCATACTATTTGCTTTCTTGAAAGACATGGTGGGGTTAAAATAACCAGAACCATGACTGACCTGTAAGGCTACCAGGATGTTAGCCAGGGCCTGGCCATAGGTATCATGGCAGTGCACTGCCAGGGCACTGACTGGCACCTCTCTGCTCACTGCCTCTAACATTTGAGTCATGCTCCCTGGAGTCCCCACTCCAATGGTGTCACCCAGGGAGATCTCATAGCAGCCCATCGAGTACAGACGCTTTGCTACCTGCAAGACAGAAGTAAAGTTAAGCTTGACTTGTTATGTTACTTGTAGGAGAATACACAGATTTTTGGCATTTTACATTATGTAAACATGTACTAAGTGAGAACTCACGTGTGCAACTTTTTCAGGTGCCACCTTGCCTTCATACGGGCATCCAACAACACACGACACGTATCTGTGTAAACAAGACATGTAGATGAGACTCATACAAAAATCCAACTAAAATTTCAATGGTTTAAAGGTTTGCTCACAGTTAAGCACAAGCCTGTATTCCTACCCTCTAACTGGCACACCAGCCTCTTTAGCTGCTTTCATAACCTCATCAAAGCGCTGTAAACTCTCGTCGACGGAGCAGTTTATGTTCTTCTTACTGAAGAGCTCTGATGCAGCGCCAAATATGGCCACCTCTGAAGCTCCTGCCTTCACCTGTGGTGAGTAAGAGCAAGGAAAAGGCATTTTAAGGGAAAATTTAGCCCAGTTGTGAAACTTTTAAACATCCTATCTATAGTATAAGAAGCTGCATATAAAGTATGTCTATGTAGCTATTGTGTGTATAGTGCGTTGGAATATAATGCTTGACACTCACAGCAGCCTGGAAACCCTTGAGGTTGGGGGTAAGGACTGCATAAGACACTCCAGGTTTTCTACAGATCCCCTTCATCACCTCCACCTGGTCTGCCATCTGACATTGAGTTAAAATAAAAAAACAAAACAACAGAAACCAGTTAGTGCTGCAGTTTCTGCACTGCCCCCAGTGGGGTGTGTGCAGCACTTTGCATGTGAATTCCTCTGGGAGAACGGACTCACCTGTGGAACCCATTTTGGAGATACAAAGCTGGTGGCCTCAATGACTGGCAGCCCGGAATCTGACAACAAGTCGATCAGATGAATTTTTGTCTCTGTTGGTACGATTGTCTGAGTGGGAACAGCAAAACAACATGAGGCGGAACTGGGATTGTTTGTTCTGGTTACATAACACATGACCTGTGCACCTGCCCTACCTCAGTACAACAGCGATGGTTAAAACTGTTTTGAGGAGTGTTAACGTCACATTGAGGCATTTTTGAGACATTTCCTGCCTGTAATTGATGCTGTGTAATCAAAACAACCAACCATTTTTACACAAAGTTACCTTCTCATTCTGAAGACCATCTCTGGGTCCCACCTCCACTATTTTCACCTTCTCCGGAAGAGCTTGACTTGCCCTTACGCCAGCCTACACACAAATACACACACATCCCCACACATATACATTAAACACACAGGTGAAGTAGCTTTAACTGTTCAATTAGAAACAGTATGATATGTAGCTAGCTGACTTCCTACCGTAACTGTAACCTTAGAGGACGCTGACAGCTGTCTGACATACCCTGCTGGACAAACGTCCACGCTAAAATTTGCTGGCACAAAAGGACAAAAAGACTCAATGCTCTCACCTTTGCTGCGGAGCTGAACGCCAGGTACTGCTGACCCATTGTTGAACTTAAAGTGCTTCTGTTGACAATCCTCATTATAGCCGCCATGTTGGTCCAGCCTCTGGTCTGACGTCACTTCTTCCTCGGGAGCAGAGTGAAGCGGCGGTCCTCACAGCTGATAAAAGCACCGCGAGGGCGCCATCTACTGGCTGGAAATTTGAAATGAAAAGTATTTTTTGGAATTTAAAATATGAATTTAAATAAAACGTACACCCTGTAAATTGTGCGTGCCCAGATACCCAGGCTCCAGAAGTACATTTAAAGCGCCTGAAAATTAATTATTTATAACATTACACGATTAAATAAGCACGTTAACGTTAAAAACACCATACATTTTGACCTGTCTTCCAAAGAAAAGCATAGGTCTTAGTAGCAACATTAATTATGTCATGGCTTACTTTTGTCAAGTGAGCCCTGACAGTGTGACACTGAGCCAAAATGCACAGTATCAGGACCCTGAAACCAGGCAGCTAAATGGAACTACAGTATTTACAACTGTGATTTTCCTATTGTGACGTAACAAAATGTCTTCAGTGGAAAAAGGCCACTGTCATTGCATGTAGATTGAAATATTGCTGAAGTTTGACTGGCAAAAACAGGCCACTGTCTCACTTCCAATCCTTCCTTTATTCTACATGAACGTTTCAATGTTTCATTTACAAATGTTCCTCCTCAGGTGTGGTTGAAACATTGTGGCCATATCGTTATCATGTATCATTTGTATTTTTGCTGGGCCTCTTGATGCTTACCTAAATCCAGATTGGTACACAAAGGTGCATGACATCACCTATTTCCAACTGAGGCCCACCCACTTCAAATTACTGAGAAAAAGACAGGCAAAAATGCAAATGCAGAAAGCTTTCAATTTAAGTAACCAAAATTGTTTTAATGTTGGCAGATCACTTTGTGTTCATGTAGAGCCCCATTGCTGTGAGAAATTGAAACCTTTAGTCCAATATTTTGGTCAGCAAAATTGACCCACAAGTTTTTTCCACGTAAAAAACAAACCTAACACAAATAGATTTTATTTATATAGCCCAAAATAGTCACACAAATTTGCCTCAATGATCTTAACATTCTGTACAACCTCACGACACCCTCTATCCTTAGACCCTCAAACTGGACAAGGAAAAATTCCCCAAAGAAATCCTGTAATGGGAAAAAAATTGAAACCTCAAAAGAGGAGGGATCCTAAACATTAATGACGAACATGATCTGGGAGGACATTGAGCAACTTCCAAGTGCCACCAAATGGATAGGACCTGAGCCACACAACCTCCTCTCCACCCTGAGGACCTGGAAAGAGGACAGACTACACAAACTCACAAGAGGCAAAACTAAGCTATTTGTTCACACATCCAGGAGAGGGAAAGAAATGCACAGAGAAAAGACAGGAACAGGAGGTGTGCATCTGCGGCTGGAGAGAAAGAGAGTGAGTGAGAGAGAGAGAGCAAGAGAGGAAGGGGGCACACAATAAGAGAAGGCGCTGCAGCCTGCTGACTTCTTTAAAACTTCGGGGACTGATGGGCCCTGCGCTCTGAGAGTGAAGAGCACTAGATTAAATGGAAGGTTTAAGGAGATCAGAGAACCTTAAAGCACTTTAAAGTCAGATTTGACGTAGCAAGGGAGCCAATGAAGAGAAGCTAAAATTGGTTTGATCAAATTTTCTGGATTTAGTTAAAACTTTTGCTGCAGCATTCGGAACCATCTGAAAACTCTTAGTAAGAGCATGTGGAAGGCCAGAAATGCAAAATGTTACAACAATCCAGTCTGGATGACACAAAGGCATGAAGTAGGGTCTCAGCATCTGCAATAAACAGAAAACACCAAATTTTAGCCATGCACTATAGGTGAAAAAAGAAAGTCTTGGTGAAGTCTTTAATGTTATGATCAAAGGAGATGGTGGGATTAAATTTAACACCATGGTTCGTGGCTGTCATACTTGGAGACATTACACAGTTGTTGAGAGTTTCTGTCACTTGTTCAAACTGGTGTCTATGTTGGGCCAGGCCAGTGAATGGTAAAAATGAATTCCATGACTGCATTTAATTTGGCCAAGAGAAAAGCAGAGGGCCAAGGAAAGAGATCTGGGGTACTGGCCAAATATAATAAAAGTGTGCAGTGGTCCATGGTATCAAAAGCTGAGATGCACAGAACTGGGATCTGAATCCATAGTAAGCAGAAGATCATTTACCACTTTAGTAAGTACTGTTTCAGTGGGTGACTGAAGGCAGATTACAAAGGTTCAAAAAGATTACTGTTAGATATGTGGAAATACTTTTTATGACTTACTATACTTTGACTTTTTATGCCTTACTATACTATGACATTTTTATGACTTACTATACTATGACTTTTTATACCTTATCATACTATGACGTTTTTATGACTTACTATACTACGACTTTGTGATGGTGTGGCACGGTGGAGGACTGGTTTACACTGTCACCTTAAGGTGAGAAGGTCCTGGGCTTGAACCCCGGGACTGAAGCCATTCTGTGTGGGTAATCTAATGATTACCATAATATTTTTTTTATGCCTTACTATATTTTGACGTTTTGATGCATTATTATACTATGACCCTTTAATGCCTTACTATATTAAGACTTTGTGATGGGGCAGCACAGTGAAACATGTGAGAAGGTTATGTGTTAGACTCCAGGGCCTGGGGCCTTTCTGTAAGGACTTTGGAAGTTCTCCCTCTGCCTGTGTGGTTCCTCTTTAGTTATTCTGGCTTCCTCTTGCAATCCAAAGACATGCACATTAGGTTAACTCTAATGCCTTACTATGACATTTCTATGTCTCACTATACTATGACTTTTTATTCCATACTATAATATATCATTTTTATGCATTACTATACTTTTACTTTTTATGCCTTACAATACAGTGACATATTATGCCTGACTATAGTATGACTTTATGACTTACTATACTATGACTTTTTATAAGTTACTATGCTATGTCATTTTTATGCCGTACTATACTATAATGTTTTTATGCCTTACTACACTATTACTTTTTTCAACATTTTTATTCCTTATAAAAACAAAATTTTTATGACATTTTATGCCTTATTATACTATGACGTTTTTTTGTTGTTGATATTTTTACGCCTTACATGATGTTTTTCTACATTTTTATGCCTTAAGAGATTATAACGTTATTACGACCTTTTAGGCCTTAGTATACCATGTAGTTTCTTGATGTTTTCGTGCCTTACTATACTCTGACTTTTCTTACCTTACTATACTATAACTTATCATGCTATAACATAGTATGACGTTTTTATACCATAATGTACGATGACTTCTTTTTTCTTACTATACTATGACATTTTTATGAAATTTGATGCCTTACTATACTATGGAGTTTTTATGACATTTTATGCCTTACTTTTATGCCTTACTTAAGAGATTATAACGTTATTATGACCTTTTATGCTTTCTATACTGTGTAGTTTCTTGACTTGCCTTAACATACTATTAAATTTTTATGTCTTACTATACTATGACATTTTATGCCTTACTATAGTATGACTTTTTATGCCTTAATATACTATGACTTTTGATGCCTTACTATACTGTGACCTTTCAATCACTTACTATGACTTTTTTTTACTATAATATATCGTTTTTATGCCATACTATATTATGACTTTGTGATGGGGAGGCACGGTGGAACAGTGGTTAGAAATGTTACCTCATTTTGAGAACATTCTTAGTTCGAATCCCGGGCCTGGGGTGTTTTTGTGTGGACTTTGGATGTTCTCCCTCTGCCAGCATGGTTACTCCGGCTTCCTCTCGTAATCCAAACACGTGCACATTAGGTTAATTGGCGACTGTAATGCCTTACTATACTATGACTTTTTATGCCTTATACTATCCTATTTTTATGCTGTACTATACTATGACTTTTTATGCCTCACTATAATGTTGTTTAATGCTTTACTGTATATACATATATATATATATGTACATGTCATATATGGAGATTCAACACATGTACATATATTACATTTGCCTTTGGAATTTCTGAATCTAAATTTAATTCTTATATTTTAATAAACCGTTTGGTTGATGACATTGAAAAGTCAATGTCTTTGTTTTGGAGGGCCAGCAGTGTCTTTTTCTCCCTACCAATGATTTATCCCTACCTACTTATGCCCTTGTCCAAATCAAATTATGCTTAGGGCCACATAATGGTTTGGGCCGGCTCTGGGTAATAGTAAGGAGTATGTTAGAATGCACAATAAGTTAAAGGTTACAAGGTAAATTTATTTATCATTTGACACAGGATTATATAACAAGATTAGACACCATGAAAAATAGTTTTATTTGAATTACTTCTTATTTATTCACTCATTTACTGTTTACTGTAATTTTTGTTTTGGTGAGTAACAAAAAGGGAACTACAACCAACACCTCCATATACAATTTTTAATGAATATCCAGTCAGTCAGAGATTACATAAATAAATAAATAAATAAATAAATAAAGTTAATAACAACAACAACAACATCAATGATAATAATAATATTAATAAACAATAATGATAATAATGATAATGATAATAATAATAATAATATATAAATTTGCATTATTNGAACTACAACCAACACCTCCATATACAATTTTTAATGAATATCCAGTCAGTCAGAGATTACATAAATTAATAAATAAATAAATAAATAAAGTTAATAACAACAACAACAACAACAACAACATCAATGATAATAATAATATTAATAAACAATAATGATAATAATGATAATGATAATAATAATAATAATATATAAATTTGCATTATTATTAGCCTATTGAAAAACAACACATAGAAAACTATGTGCTCTTACTTTGATGAGCGGAAATGGCATCATCAGCAGGTGATGATGTTTTTCCGAAAGTGCCCGAGTGAAACTGTGTATGTAAAATTGAAAATCCACAAGTTAAAGTTGAGATCCTCAAATACTTTTTCGTTTTACAAATAGAAAATTGATTCACAAATGTCTGTTTGAAACTTGTGAATTTTAACAAGATATTAACAAATGCTTTTCGTTTATTTGTAAATCAGTTGAATGTATTCACAGATAATTTTTGTGGAATTTGTGGAATTTGTTTGTGAATTTGCAAATTTATTATTTGTATTAGATTACACATTTACACATAGACTGTCAATCTCTTCACACAAATAATGGGAAACAAATCTACCTCCATTTAAATAAATCAGTACCTATACATTACGAGGACAGACTAATATTGCTTCAGATTTGAGAAGGCAGTGAGCTGACATAACGGATGTGAAAGGGGAAACAGTAAGATCAGAAACTTTTATCCCACAAGATATAATTAGGTCAAGTGTGCTATCATTGCAGTGACTAGGCTCATAAAGTATCAGCAAGTGCCAGAAAGCCTTTACAACGAGGATCAGAGGCCTTGTTCAGGGGAAGATTGAAGTCACCTATAATTAGAGTCTCGGATTAAGATAAATTCTCCTCGTCTTTCTTAAACTAGTGAATAAGGGCCCAGTGCTATACAGAGTACCAATAAGTGGAAAGGTTGGAGCAACTTATAGCTGATGAAGATGTTTTAATACAAGAGCCTCAAAAGAGTTAAAAGCAAAATCCAGTTCGAAGGTTGAATTTGTAGATCAAGGAACCACCTCACCTTGTTTAGTAACCTGAGCAACATGGACATTGGTTTACTCAGGTGTGGAAGCTTCATTTAATGGTAGGAAAATGATTGTTTTAAGCCATGTTTCACATAAACCAATTACAGACAGATTATGCTGAAGAATCAAGTCATTTGTCAGTGAGGCTTTGGTAGATAGTGATCTGATGTCTATAAAATCAAATTTGTTGAGGTTGGAGTTTTCAGTAATGGGCCAATCTGTAGAGCTACCAGTAGATGATGTATTTATTGAAATCAGACATCCTATGTTTTTAGTAGAAAATGTTGTTGACCTGCACACATGGTGGTGTGAGGATATAATTGTGATTACCATAGGATTTTTTTTTTTTGTGGGTGATTGTGGTACATTGCACTATCACCACCTTAAGATACAAATGTAAATTTACTCCATGATTTGGGTTTCATTATTTTCATTCACATTATAAACACAGCTTAAAGCTGTCTGTTAGAAATGTTATATTGCCATATTTTGAAAACATTTTGCTTTGATTTTTAAATGAAAGATTATAATGTGAACATTATTTTATTCACACACGCTATTTCCCTTCGAGACATTATATATTTGATAAACCCTAAAAAAAATGGCGCAAAACACATTTTACTTAACTGTTGTTGTCACTGACATTATTTACTTTTATATCATGTGATTGTACTCTCTTCCTGTTTCCTTTGTTTATGATGAGGATGAACAAGCCAGACGCACAATGTATAAAAATATCTTTAATGTGTCAAAAAGTTAAAAAAGAAAAAAACAAACAAATAAATTATAATTGGCTTCATATCATAGTGCATATCATAATCAAAAAGCACTGCAACCGTGAATCATGGAAAAAAAAAAAAGTCTGCTCTCGACTTTCCCTACAGGGAGTAGGGAAATAGCAGAGTCATCATTCTGTCCTTGTCACTTTGTTTAGCTTAAACACCAGCTTTTATAAAAGCAGAGCCCCAGAAAGTACAAAGGTGTTCTTCCATGCATATGAAAAAAAAAACATATCTTTGAAAGAGTTATCATATAACTATAACTGAAGCAGAGGAAACACTGAATATGCATGCTTTGGATACTGCATATCTTTATGAATTTTAACAAAAAGCATTCCATTTCATCACAAAGGTCAACAATCTCATCGAAAGGAAAGATTAACCAGTTGCATTTAACTAATAGACAACTAATACATCATAAATGTGTGTATTTACATTAGTGGATCACTTATTTTATGCATAAATTCTCTTGCATGGATTGAACACACACACACACACACACACACCCACACACACACACACACACACACACACACACACTTTGGTCCAGTTTCACTGCAGCTCCTCATCACTGTCGTCCACTTGTTGGATGATGAGGTCGGCCCCTGAGTCTTCGGCGAGGTCGTCGTCATCGGTTACCATCCAGCTCCTTTTGGTGTCCCCCTCCTCCTCCCCGTCCACGCCCAGTAACAGGGCCGGCTCTTCGTTGGCCCCCTCTAGACTGTCCATGGGGATGTTGTCACAGCCCACTTCCTGGATGCACGCGGTGCACATGCGGTAGCGTCGTGTGCCCTCACACACCACATGCCCTGTCTCCTCTGTCACCTGACACTTACACTTCCTGCACACCAGCTTCCTGGCTTGATGGATCTGTAAAGGAAGCAAAAAGTGTAAAATCAAACAAAAATGCATTATATAATAGTAATATAAAGATTGTTTAGTCCTGACCTGTTATATTACTGCTTGTGTTCCTGTAGCTATGTGCATACGAGTACACGGACCTTGATATCTGTTTATATACATCATTTCCTGGTTTTGTGTTGTACCTACCGTCTCAAAATGGCTGCGGAGGTGCTCCAGGCGGGTAAAGCGTTTATTGCAGGCCTGACAGGGGTATGGCCTCTCTCCAGTGTGACAACGCAAGTGACGCTTCAGGTCTGCCTTCCTCTTCACTGTGTGGGTACAAAAGGGGCATTTGAAGCGCATAATGGGGTTGGAGTCTGCAAAGAGGAAGAGAAACTGGTCACACATTTTACTTTTTTGTTTACTCCCTGGATGTCACTTTCTATAGAACTTTCTTCTTTTGAGGCTTACATTCATGCCACTCTGCTTATGATGAAGTATGTTATATATGTTCTCAATTTTCCGGAAAAAGAACTATTGAGTCACCATTTTGTCACCAAATGTGCAACTCACCTTTATTAAAGTGTCCAATAACACCTACTATCGGTGGTAGAGTTGCGTACAGCTCCTCTGCCTTCTCTGCCTTTTGAGCCCTTGCTTCCTGGATATCCAAGTCCTCGTGCTGGTTGGAGCGGGTGCTGTTCGGCGCTCTCCTCTTAGTTCCTCCTTTACCTCGCCGGCGCTCTGATCCAGGCAAGGTGTACAGAGGGTCCTGAGGGTCCTGCATGTCCTCTGCCTCTGCATTGAGCTCATTAGCAGGGCTGCTTGGATTAGTCTTCATGGCTGAGGCTGAAGTGTCCTGGTCTAGGTCCTTCCCTATAAAACCAGACTGAGATCTGGAGTTGTCCCTGGTCCAGAGTGCAGGTGGGGGGCTGACAGAGCAGGGGCCTTGTTGCTGCTGTTCTGAGGTCTCCTCTCCAGCTCCACTGGTGAAGCTGCAGGTCTCAGACAAGCTGAGGCAGCGGTCACTGTCTTCATCTTTCACACTGATATCCAAGGAGGATTTGATGAAGTTCTTGCAGTAGCTGATGACATTGTTCATCTGCAGGTAGCTGGCTGCAGACATCACCTCGATCACATTGTGGCTGGAGAGGTCCAGCTGCCCAGAATAGATGAAATCCAGGATGACGGTGAAGGTCTCGGGGCTGAAGACGTCGAAGGTGGCATTGACAGAGTCGGACAGGCCGTCGGGCCCCTGGGACAGCAGCATGCGGAAGTAGCCGCTGCTGGCGAACAAGACGTTACGGTGGGCCCTGAAGAGCTGGCCCTCCACCAGCACACTGCAGTCACAGAAAAGCTCCTGGCGGCGCTGCTGGTTGAGCTGCTTCAGCAGGTTGCTTTGGTGAGCCACTGTGATGTCAGCAGTGTTGAACCACCTCTGAGGCTGCCTGCAGGAGACAACATGACAGCACTCTCACTAGCTCTGTATGCAGCATAGACTGAGTTGTTCTTCAAGAAAATATCAAATCTCAGAGGCCTTGTGTACCATGTGGACACTCATTACTGAAAGTGAGACACTTTCATCTTCTGAATTTACTAAAATCTAAATGTATGAGCCTGCATGCATGATGTGTAATTTGCATATTAATGAGGGAAACACTGGCTCCTGGAGGGTGTTCCATGGGACATCTGACCTCGTGACTCTAAACTTACCTTGGTAAATGATTATGCTACAGACCTCAAATATTAACTACAGGTCACATTAAAAAAAACAGCTGCAACACTCCCATTGACTTAGCTATCAATTATCCCCCGTCTTTGTCCCTGCACTGGACGAACACCAGCTCCGCAGATGGCCCACCCACAAGAGTCTCTGCAGTGTGATTGGCTGAACGAGCCTTCAATCAAAAATCTTCTTCTAATGGGCTACACCCGACGCCAGTCAGAGAGCATCGGGTGACAAAACCCAGTAATCATACCTGAGGGAGGGTGAAGCGCGCATGAAATCTCTGGTGTTACAAACACACGAGACTGGTGGGAGGAGAAAATAAAAAACTGAAGCCGGACATTACATCCAAAGAATGAATAAAATCTGCCGCAACCCCATTTGCAGAATAGTTCTTCTTCTTCAATAGTAACCTATTTCGCCATCCTCATAGACTCTGAATTACACGCATTCGTTATTAATTATGCGATGTTTGCTGACAGGCTCCGCAGCGCCCGATAACTCACGATGCAACGCCCGGTCACAAGACTCTATAGTGCTCCTCATGTCACACCAAACCAAGTCTAATATCTCCACTGAGCAATTCCTCGTTAATTCAGACATCAGTCGACCTACAAACCGACACGGGAGTGCTGCAGTCCTGCGAGAGAAAAGCGGGCAGCGGCGCACCAGAGCAGCCCAGTCTGTCCTGGAGCGACGCCCACTTCAGGCTCCAGCCAGCACACAATAGAAAAATAGACACGAACCTCCAGCAACTGAGCATGCTGCGAGCTGACAAATAAATATATTCAGATAGTGTGTCACACGGGGGATAAGACGTGCTAATACACCCGTTTTCATCCTCAAGACCACCCCCACTTCTCGCCGGAGGTCCGGAGCGCTGCGAGCAGCGGGGAGGATTTGCCTGCTGCCCAAACCCAGCGACTCTTTCCCAGGCATGAGGTGTCGGCAGGACCCGCTTACGCCCCACGCCGTGATACCCCTTACAAAATCCATCGATACTCACTGGTGACTTGATTCACCCGGCGCCCGATAGAGTCTATTTGCCCCCAAGTCTGCCACCATATCCATGTTTAATTTCGTTTGCCTCTTTTCCCCGTGCTCTTTTTTTCTCGTCCAGGGTCCACGGTCAGGCAGGCACTTCCTGCTCAGCCCTAAAGACCGAAACCCGGTTAGAGCGAATGGAGCACTGTGCTGACGTGGGTGTTTATTAACTGGGTGCCCGAGGGTTCAAGGAGCCATTTAAAGCCCCAGTGCCCCGTTTAAATGTAGTGTATGAACAGAATATTGCTATGGAGCACCGAATACTCCAGAATTATAAATTGAGAATGATTTATACAACATTTCTGCAGGGATTTATAGATTGACACTCAAATTCTACTCACCTCATCATATAGGTATTTTTCTTTAATATACATGGCATTACTTTGGTATTCCTAAAAGAACCTGTGATGTCCCTGGGTTGCTCAATAGTGAATTTACAGCCATGTCATCATATTTAAAGGTGAGAGCATCTTAAATCAGAGTATTCTTATGGTTTTGTATTGTGATTTAATCTAATTCAATCCCCCCTAATTACAACTCATTTTACAATCATTTGCAAAAGTCCAGTGTCATAATGGAGCAGAATTACAGGCTTGTGTTTCTTCAGTAAGAAAATTAATTTATTCTTTCATTGTTATGGCTCACAGATCAATGCATTTATAGAGAAAATATCCATTGTTAAATCTGACATACCAACACAGAAAAAACAGAAAGACATTTGTACACAATCATTTGAAAACAAGACAATTGTTAATATGGAGCTAATAGGAAATGAAACGTGACAAAACATAAAGCATTCAGCTCCTCCTGAGGTCTCATCATATGTTTATGTGATATGCAAAAATGAGGAAGTTGATGGTTTGCTTTGGCCCGGTGATTTCGAAGAGGACTTAATATAAAAAAAAAATTAAAAAAAAAACAGGCTGGAGTTGTATCAAGATGCTGTGCCATTGGTAAATCCTGTGGGGTTCATTGACTGCCAGCGCCACAGATCCTCACCTATATGGAAACAGGTACAAAAAAAACAAAACAAAAAAAACAACATCAGGGCATTATGGGAGAATATTTTAACAAGAAAAATCGATGATAACATTATTTTTGGAGGTCGATAAGAAAAAGTAAATTTACACATTCTTTCCAGGTCAAATTCAGCCTTCCAGCCCAGCTCCTTCTCGGCCAGACGAGGGTCAGCGTAGCAGGATGCAATGTCTCCTCCCCTGCGAGGGGCGATCTTGTATGAGATCTATAGAGAGGACACATTATCCGAGGGTTAATAAAAGGAAACCCAAATGGATCAGAGGGCATCTTCATAGTCAACGTCAGCTTGGCCATCCTCGAACTCAGAGGACAACATGATCACTACAGTCACTTCAATTACCGTCATAAGATACAATACAAAACCCTGATCCTGAAATCAACTTGGGGGAGATTTCACTCACCTCTCTCCCTGATGCCTTCTCCATGGCTTTTACCATCTGGAGCACAGAGTAACCCCTTCCTGTTCCTAGGTTGTAAACCTACAGACACATACACAATGGTTCAAAAATGTCAGCGCACCAATTAACACCTCAAGCATGTTCACATAGGCAGAAAATATGTTTTAAAAGGCTTTTTTTTGTTTTTTTTCAAATGTACCTTGCACCCGCAGTCGTCCTTCAGCTTCTTCAGAGCTGCGATGTGTCCCTTTGCCAGATCTACAACGTGAATATAATCTCTCACACCTAGCCAGAGAGAGAAAACCTTGTTTGCATGACTCCGAATATTAATAAACAAGTGCTATGACAGTTTCCCTGTTATCAAGAGCCCTCTGCCCAAAATAATATCTCAAATCCCCAATTAAATACGTGCACTGCAGATAAAAGATCTTCTCCATTACCTGTTCCATCGAGTGTGTCATAGTCATTCCCAAATACATTGAGGCTCTTTCTTCTCCCAATGGCAACCTATGGGAATGATAAAGTAAGTAAAGCAAATAATGTCATCCGACAGATCCAATTGAAACACATAGAGGAATATGAGTTCCCAAAGTCTCTCTGATGTAGCTGTGTATTTGGCAGAGAGTTGACCTACCTGGGCAACATATGGCAGCAGGTTGTTGGGGATACCCTGAGGGTCCTCTCCTATCAGGCCAGAGGAATGAGCTCCAATTGGGTTGAAATAACGCAGCAGCACTGCATTCCAGTTCTGCTCACACAGAAGCAACAATGAGAGATCTTGTGGTGTATGTTTGTGTGTGTGTGTGTGTGTGTGTGTGTGTGTGTGTGTGTGTGTGTGTGTGTGTGTGTGTGTGTGTGTGTGTGTGTGTGTGTGTGTGTTTGTGAATGCCATTCTACTTCCTAATCCATACCTTCTCTGCCTTACAATGGTCCTTGATCATCTCCTCGATGAAGTATTTGGTCTTGCCGTAGGGGTTGGTGCAGCCGCCCACAGGGTGCTGCTCGTCAATGGGCAGGTGCTGGGGGTCTCCGTACACCGTGGCTGAGCTGCTGAAGACCAGATTGTGCACCCTGTGAGCCTGCATCACCTGGGACACATGCAGATGCACACAAACACGGCACACACGTACAGTCAGCGGCCGGTGAGTATAGCAGTCTACAGCACACACAACATACAACTTAGGAGTAAGCAGAAATGCTACGTTTGGCGGATATAGTAAGCACCACACATTGAAAGTTATGAAGGGTGCAGTGTTAGAATTAGCCAACTCAGTATCAAAAGAAGACACACATTCATGCACTCAGCAAACAAAGACGATGATTAGTGCAACTAATGACCAGCTCAGAGAGAGGTCTGACATGAAAACTGAAGTCCAGATTTAAGGAGAACAGATGGTGACAGATCAGATGACAAAAGTGCAAGTCGAAACTGACCTCAAGCAGATTCATGGAGGCGGTGAGGTTGACTCTGTAGTAGCGCAACGGCTGCTCCACTGACTCGCCGACGGCCTTCAAGCCGGCAAAGTGCATCACAGCACTAAAAGCATGCTGAGAAACAGATAAAAACAGTGTGAGCGATGGGTGTGGGCAGTGTGAAAGGACTTCCTATGACTATTATGCAGATATGAAAACATTACGTCAAGCTATGTGTTTTAAATGCTATGTGAGAGTGTATATTGGCCATCAGGGACATTCTTTGGCAGCCACAGTGTATTAAAGCTATGCATGGAATTATGTTACTGTCAAATCAATTTCTGGTATATTTTTTCTGAATACCCTGATTGTTTCATTCTCCAAAGACAAATTCAACCACCATCTATTCAATGACATTAATTCCAGCCAATTTATGAGAAGAAAAATCATAAAAATTTAACTGAATATAAATTTTATTGACTGGACCACAATAGTGGCGCCAGCCCTAGAGTTGCGAATGTCTGACTGAATGACTGATCATAATTCAACCACTGGTCAGCCGAATGCCCCATGACTGAGTTGGAGATGGCCGCTGTTCTTTCAAAATGAATTGGTGCAAACAGTTTCTATTGGCACATTTCAAGTGAACAATTCACTTCAAATGCGGTGGTCTCAGTTTGGTTAGCTTCAAGTCCACGTTGAAGTTTGCTTAACCTATGCATTGTGAACACAAAGTGCTCCAGGTTCACTTTGCCTTTTATCATTGTATTTTAGCCCTGCTGTGGACAGATCAGATGCTTTTGCACTGGGATGCTCGAAAAAACATACGAATGGAACCATGGCTTCTGGTAACAATAAGAAAGACGAGGAGTAGTTTGGTCAATAATACAAAATTACTAATTAAACTTATTAATTTTACTAATCTAACCTATCCCCACAGGAATGTGCATAAGACAAATATGGCAGCAGCCACCCTGTTCCAAGTGAAAGATACCCATAACCCAAAGCAGTAAAGGTCTGAGAGCTCCAGAAAAACTATATGTGCTGTGAACAGAAAGAGAACTGAGTCCTCTTTGAAATGAACTCACAATGCAAAAATGCAAAAAGAACTGATTTTCTTTTCTGTTGGTCTACTTTAAGAGGACTGAGTTCAGTGTGTTTAAAAAGGACTATATGTGAAAACACCTTATTATTCTGTTGCTTCTAACTTTCTCTCTGAGTCATCATTTAACAATTAAATATAGCAAGTCTTAGTTTTTAACTTATGTGTTTGGTGATTTTGTCACGGTTGAAAAATCTGAATTTTAACAGCAGCAAAACAGCAGCTACGAAATGGGTTGGAAGTTAACATGTAGTCTTAAAGTAATGTGTTTCAGTCACTATTTCATACTTGTTCCGTTGTAAACACAAAAACATGTAAATGAGAACAGCTTTATTGGGAATTTGGCTGCATTAAAATACTGTGTATGTGAGCACAGAGAGTAGGAGAGAAGCAAACAGATGAAGGACTGAAACCGGCTACTAGGCAGACTGCAAATAGCCTATGATGCAGTCCAGCCATATACTAGGTTTTGACCTAGTCTAGTTTTTTTTTTTTTTACATATAAAGAAATAAGATTTGGCTGAAAATAACAATTTTCTAATTATTTTCTTTATCTGCCAGATATTGTACTGATTAATCAGGTTGTTTGTTTAGTTTACTGTCATACATTTCAAAGAAAAAGCATCAAATCCTAACATTTGAGAAGAGCACATTTTTTGCATTGCTGCATGAAAAATAATTAAAACAGTTAATTGAAAGTTAAAATAGTTGCAGATGAATTTTCTGACAATCAACTAAGTAATTAATTATAATAATAATTGTTTAAGCTCTAATATGAATAAATCAACTGTTAACTTTCTGACCTTTTTGAAGAGTTTTTCCAAGCCAGGTCGGTCCAGAAGGTCTAGTTCATGAAACTCAATGCTGGTGTCCAGAAGATTCTCTATCCTTCGTAAGCTCTCTGGCACATCCCCTTCTCCTCCATTCACAACAGGATGTAGCGCACACACACACACACACACACACACACACACACACACGCACGCACGCACGCACGCACGCACGCACGCACGCACGCACGCAGACACACATACACACACAAACGCACGCACGCACGCAGACAGACACACACACAC